TGGGCAACGCATGCAAAACTAAAACAAGTAATTCCCCCGAGATCCGCCTTTCGTATTATACCTTACAGAAAAACCTTAAAACTAGATCACAGCTTTTTACTTCAAGCTACCTGCCCGTTTCGCTGATTTAATATACTTCATAAGTGCACAGCTGAAATAGCCAAAAGGAAGCGGATACCGAATTACGAAACCTACACCCAGTTATAATGAGGTTCAAACGTCCTACTTTCTCTTTTTTTCCATTTTATACAGACCGAAATTTCCAATACCTCGGTGAATCGGAATAGGAAGTTCATAAATTAAGTTCACGTCGAGGCTGGCGTGGGAGTTGAAGGCTGTGTTCTAAAGAAAAAAACAAAAGGGAGAAAGAGAGCTTCTCTTTACCGCGGAGGCCGCAATTCAAAAATATAATAAAGTGCTGCAGTTGAAGCTACCAGTCCATAGCTATAAGTTCTAAGGTGCACAGGTAGCCAGTGCAAAGCTATTCAATCTACAATCGTTTATCCCTAAAATCCCTACAAGTTAGCGTCAACCCTTCCAGCCGGCATTAACACGGGGCTTCGCTGCGAGCACACCCTTGTACAGTATATGAAACTCTATTTATTTTCTCTTCATATGAGTAGCAGTTTTTCGGCCCTGTCAAGACTCATATTAAAACACGTGCCACCGTAAACCAGTGCCCGCAGAGGGAAAGTCTTTCTGGCAATCCTATAGGCGCCTTCCAAATCTCGCTGGTTTCATTTTTCCCATCTATTTCTCTCTTTTTTTTCAGCTATTCGGCATTATATGAGACAAGTTTCCAATTTGCTTCCGTCATCGACATTTTCGCTGCTGCCATGCGTTTACGCACTCCACTGCGGGCGTCCCTCCCAAAGAGCAGCAGCAGCAAGCAGAACAGTGCGAGTAATTAGTCTCACGCCTTGATGCGCATGGTTGGTGCCCGTGAGCCTACGGGCATTCTATCGTGCGCAAAACACGGAGCGATAACGTACGCAAAACCAGGAGAGGGGAAAAAAATGATGAGACGCGTCGGAAAGCCCGCGAAATAACTCCTCCGAAGCAACACCAGAAGCAAACGGGCGTACTTATTTCAACAAGCTGCGTTTATGCGTTAGCGTTTCTGTTGAGGGTGCCATGGTTGTCGTGTGGATATGTATGTGACTTACGTCGCAGATTTTTATGATTTTTATTCACGTGCGCTGTTCACTGTCATCAGTACACGTCAAGTGTTTGTAGACTACACGTTAGTTTACGCACACACGAGTACCCTCAATCAACACTCATTTGACAGGCTTTAATTAGGGGGGGGGGAGGAGGGGGAGCAAATAGTTGGTTATGAACGGACATGCACGTGTACGGGTGCGAGAGCTGGTTAAAGTGAGCCAGGAAAGTTACTGACGAATATTTCTATTCGCGGCAGAAAAAGTTAGGTGTTCGAACGTTCTATATGCCGTATCACTACAGTGAAATAAAGGAAAGACGGGAACGTTAATTGCAGGACGTTTCCGTCTCAATATACTGTACTCTAGAAGGGGAAGAAGTGCAAAATTATAAAAGAAAAGAAGATGAAACTGTGACAACACTAGACGACAAAACAAATGAAATAACGCCATGAGTGTGGCCCCGTCAATGTACAGTATGATCCACTGTTAAATGAAACACTCGACTGCACACAATCAATATTATTGGCCTTCTAAGAGCAAGTGGTTAAAGAAACAATCTCATGCAAGTCAATATTATGTCAAGAGGAGTCGGAACTTTTAACCACCAGTAGTTTCATGCATATCTAAGCCGCTATAATTCTGTAAGACAGTGAAATCTAAACATGATGCTCATGCAAGTGTTCCCTTTAACAGTGTACCCGTCTGTACATTACGCCAACATATTTCTACCGACTATCTCCAGTGTCGTTGCCAAGGCCTCGTCAAGTTTGAGGCTCACGGGATGGCTTCATGCTCTCCCATAGTAGAGTACCATTTACTCTAAATTGTCAACCACTTTATTTAAACACTCATCTTTTCCCCATGTGGTACGTAGAGGGTGGATATTAGTGACTGGACAAGTGTGAATGAGTACTCGTACAGCAGAGTTAGCAGTGAGTGGAAGCAGGTGTAAGAATGAGCGTGAGTGTATGTTGGCGAGTTTTGAATGGCAGGTATTGCAAGCGCGTGTAAGGATGATAGCGAGTGGGGGAGGGTAAGGCCATTAGTGAGCACACATGCATTTGAATCAATGAGCACGTAGCATGTGAAAAAAAAGTTCAAATCGGATTTACGGGCTTTTACTGAACAGGAACGACCCGAGTAGGGCAACACACCACTGGAATGGTTAGATGGTCTTGACCGCCTTTGTGTTCAAGATAGGGTAAGCGAGAAGAATATAACTTGCACTTGTCCCTCCCGCCCCCCCTTCTCATGATTATTTGTTGATATCAAACATCACATTTCAATCGATTAACAGCTAAGTATATCGATTTCGGCATTTTTAACGCCTGTTTATTTTGTAGAACGCGTCTGCCTGAGCTCAATGTTCTCCGGCTGTCTAAAGCTGTATTAAAAACTGCAACGGCCCTTCGATCAGTCTTAACGAATGCGATTGCGTGAGGAGTGAAACCACGCTCATTCTTGAACTGTATTTCCAAGTATTGTTCTAACTTTCATGTATCCCGTATTTGTAAAGATAAGATGGCCGCCATGGCAGGATGTGTCTCCTACCTTGCGCTTTTTCTTAATTTACGCCGCTGCGAAATGCGTTTATTGGTGTCGTGAGCAGTTGTGTTCACGCTGGGAAGTTGAAAAATGAGATTAGTGCTTCCGCCTTCTCTTGGCTGTAACTATAAGCCATGACCATATCACACGACCAAAGCTAAATTAAAGAGATAGTGGAGAGTATCAACATGGTTTTCTTACGCATATAAATATTAAAAAGGGTCAGTTCTATTTTTTTTTCGAAGACACCTTGTTCTCCGAAGAAAAGAGCCCAGGACATCGTGGTTAGGTATACGGCTGAAGCGACGGCTAAGTTCTGCACTTGTTCTATATGTTGTGAGCATTATGAGTTGTGGGGATCTAGCTCGGCCAATGAAAAGGAGTGCTTCGGTATTCAACGTTCCTTCACAACATGTAGTGACGTTCGTGTGGCTGCAGCATCCGCACGAAGAACGCGTTCAGCACCGAGCCGGCCAATCCGGATTAGTACCGGCAACTTCTCGACTTTTTTCGCCGAGCGAAATTCGTCCCCTATAGTACATCACGACTCCTCTGTATAGGGCTACAAAGCAGCACCAAAATCGGATTTGCACGAGTCAAAGCCGGTTCGTTTTAAAACGATGTTGGCAGGTTTTTTTTTGTTGAACAACCCATTTTGCCAGTATAAACTTTGGCATGTTTTGTTGATTCGGGATTTATTTCGTTTTTTTTTCTTCTTCATTTTGGTCGTTGAGATCAACAGATCACTTTTGTGGCGCCAGCACCGAGTGACAGTCTTGTTTCTTGAGCAACAACTCCCGGTAAGTTACTTCCGGTGTTTGTAACTAAAACCTGCGCAAAATAAAAGCATCGTAGTTGTAGTTAACGTTCGCGATAGGAGTACGTGATATCGGAGATGAAATTGAAAACGATGCTGATAAGTGGTGCATAACTTGTAGGTATAGAAGCATATCTTTCTTCTTATGACGAGCCATAAAACGGCAGTAAGGGGGAAATGGAAGCTTGTGATGGAGAAATCCGTAAACAAGATTTTCTTTGCTCGAGCTGGCGCTTATTTATTTTCCTAATATCTTGGGCTTTACGTTCCAAAACCATGATTTGATTATGAAGAACGCCGTAGTAGAGGGATCCGGAAAGTGCGATGATCTGGTGTTCTTTAACGGGTACTGACGAAGCACCGTACACGAGTTAGATCCGAAAAGAAACCGCTGGGCCGGGATTGAAACCGTGATTTTCATGTCAGCAGCCGAGCACCCTAACCACTGGCGGACCGAGCTGACGTTTCGAGAAGTGGACTTGTCTTTTTCAAGGCCATTCAAGTTCTAGCCTTGAAGAATGATGATTGATTGATATGTGGGGTTGAACGTCCTCAAAACCACCATATGATTATGAGAGACGCCGTAGTGGAGGGCTCCGGAAATTTTGACCACCTAGTGGGTTCTTGAACGTGCACCCAAATCTGAGCACGCGGGCCTACAACATTTCCGCCTCCATCGGAATAGCCTTGAAGAAGACCAGTCTTCTTGTCGAAACATCGGCTCTAGTCGATAAGCCGTGTAGTATGTCGCAAGAATATTCGTGTAACTGACAAGCCGTGTACCGTGTGACAAACATGTGGCAAGCCACGAAGTTAGTCGCAAGAATGGGGAATCTTTGCAGGCTTGCAATCTTTGCGAGGAAGAACACTTGGCTTACTTTATAACGAGGCAATGCAACAAGATCTTGTTCCTTCACGTTGCGTGTGCCCACAGAAGTGCAACCGATAATGGCCATCCATGGACGCAGCATTCGGAACGTTCTATAGCGTATGTTTTGGGGATGTGGTTCAGTTTAGGGTCTAGCACGACATTTACGCCGGTCGCATGAAATGGGTTTGTTAGTAATCACCGGCTTGACAACGAATGTATGATCGTATGAGGGGGTTGTTTCTAATTTAGGCGTTCGCAGAGGGAGGTTTGGGGGGGGGGGGGGGGAGCTGCCTCAGTAATTTAAAGGACAGCGTGATTTTTTACACACGTTTACTCAGTTGTCAGTCACACCTTTCGCGCCATCTTTTAATGCGTATGTTTATGTCCCACATGTTTTTTTTTTCAACGATAACCTCAACGAACTGTACCTGTGATGAACTGTTTACTACCCACCTTTACCAAGAAAAGCCAAGAACCAATGGCAGACCTTTCTGATAAGTATGTCATCACTCAATTTGCATTTTTGTATTCAATTGCGGTGCTCATTTTTCTTACGGACACAGCCAAGGCGCCTCCCCCCCCCCCCCCCGCCCCCCGCGAATGGAGACCCTTAAGCAAGCCTGTGTTTCCTAGTGTGTACCCTTGACCGGTGCCCCCAGGTGCGAAGCCGATTCGAGAATGAGCTTGACCACTTCGTCAACGCCGACGCCGTGCTTGGCCTGGCAGAACAGAGTGGGCCCCCCTTGACGCATGCGCGCTGCGTCGCGCTCCATGACGGCCAGGTCTGCGCCAACAGCTTCAGCCAGGTCTGTCTTGTTCACGACGAGCAGGTCGCTCTGCGTGATTCCCGGGCCGCCCTTGCGCGGGATCTTGTCCCCGCCGGCGACGTCGATGACGTAGATGATGTAGTCGGCCAGTTCGCGGCTGAAGTTGGCCGCCAGGTTGTCTCCGCCGCTCTCGAGCAGCACCAGCTCGGGCCGGAATCGACGCGTCAGCTCCCGCACGGAGTCCATGTTGGCTGAGTAGTCCTGCGGTGTGACGTGCGCGGCTTAGAGTGAGAGAGAGCGGAGCTAGTTTGTATGCATGCGTATTTAAAGAATACTGGGCACGCAAGCATGGGCACAAGAGAGAGAAGTCAATGCGACACAAACGCCGGTTACCTTCTGTCCTCTCTCGTGCGCCTCTTTGCACAACCAGTTTTTTTTTTTTTAATTCGAGGCATTTCTTTGCGTATTCAAAGTACTTTGGTGTCTATCTATCTATCTATCTATCTATCTATCTATCTATCTATCTATCTATCTATCTATCTATCTATCTATCTATCTATCTATCTATCTATCTATCTATCTATCTATCTATCTGCTTACGACTCGATGCTTTCGTGATCACCCCCTTAATCTGGCTTCAACCAACATTAGCATGGGAGGGTAAGAGGGTTTGATGGTCAAGACTTCAATAATGTCACAATCCCGTCGCGTACGTTATCAAACACTTCCCGTTAAACAATAGCATAAACCCGCGGGCGGGTATGCCACAGGTGATTACACGTTAAGAGAAAGCTAACATGGGCAGCGTTGACCCTACGAAGGCATACAATAAATATCGTGGTATCAAAAGGAATCGAACCCCAGCATTCTTCACGGCGATCAAGTATTCTACCACAGAGGCACGCCAAGTCTCGAAACTACTTTTCAAATAGACCATAATGTTAGTGAAATGCCAATTGTGATTGCAGTGCTGCCTACTCAATTTTATAAATATTACATATGTACTCCTATCATACAGCCGCCACGTATAGGGCTGGCGTCAATTGTAGTTAGGTGGCATTCGCTGAAGTTGATGTATGTAGCCGTGTCCACGGCTGCCATCTTCGCGAGCACCAGCGCTTCTTTATCAGCTTATCGCTTCTGGTTTTGCTAATGCTCATGTTCCTGTCGGCATCGTTGCGCAAGTGCAAAAAACTGGTTATGTAAGCATCTGCAACTGTTCAACGCATGTATTTGGATACAATATTTGTAAATATATTAAGCGTCATTTCATTACATGTCGCTCAATAAAAAATTACAATACGGTCACCTTCTCTCCGCATGCTTCGCATAACGTCAATTCCCAAGGTACGTGAAATCTGCCGAACTTTCTTTAACGTGCATGGTGCGTCTTTTTTTGTGTACTATAAATACAGTTGAACAACTTAAGAATACTTTCATAAACTTTATTTCATTCGCTCATTTTGCCTACTCCAATGTTTGGCCCATTTGAGAGTACCTACAGCATCAAGCGTGCATGCGTCAGCGGCCCCAAGTATAGGGAAACAGAAGCTAAATGTATATTTACAAAAAGCAACAGGAAATGCGTTACATTTCGTGGCACTCACAAATGCCAGTGCAGGTCCGTGTGTTATTCCTGTTTCGGTCTCTCCGCAAAATGTATTTATACACGTATCGCACACACCTCCTGCTAACTATTCTTCAGTCGACGAAAAATCCCACATAAAATTCTTTCTCCTGATGACATCACTGCTCCCAGTGCGCATGTGCACGAGCAAATATTTACACTACGGCGTGTGTGTTGTCAAGGGTGTAGAGCGTAAACGTCGCATGTCGTTACCCTGTAGTGGCATGTGCGTAGCGGAAGCATACATAATCATGGGATTAAACGTTGCGCGTAGTGAAAACAAAGGTGATTTCATGTATCAGATTCAGACGAACAGCGCATGCAGTTTAATAATTTCACGAAATCGTTGTGCAAGGTTCTGGCGCGAATGGGGGATTTGCATACATTTCTAGCGGTACACTACGTGCTTAAGCGTTGAATGTCGGCAATTTATAATGGTTAAGAGTTCTACGCTACATTAAAGTTAATGATATGCAATGTCCTGAATGTGGCCTTGTAAGCAAAATGCAGAATTTTGTCTCGGTGCTTTTGCGTTTAAATTTACAGAGCGCCACGCAGTGGTAGTTCAATGTTGTTTGCGAATGCCCGACACAAAGCCAAGCCTCCGAACGAGCCGCTGACGTACCTCCCTGATGGCAGCATGCGGGCAGCCTCCGGTTTCGATAGCGCGCATGCGATCTTCGGGCAGAGCCTCGTTGCGGCAAAGAAACTCCCAGTCCTCTCTGCACAAACATCGAGAAAATGGTTATTCTTTCAAAGAATCTCTCAGAAGAGCACGGAAAATTGAAATGCAGTCAATGACGTAAGTTTTTTTTTATTTTTAATGCTCAAAACACTATCGAACAGCAGTATCTTGTCGGTATGGATTTCACGGGAACCAGGGAACGAAGAAAAACAAGGTGTCTTTCCAAAATCGCATAATTCGACGTAACATTCAAAAATTGTGATCTATTTACCACGGGTTGTCGAAACTCAACGGATCCGTCATCATGGATTACGTTTTGCAGCATTTCGCAGAACTGACCAATGTACCATATTCTGCGTTCTTCAAGCCACTTTCAAGTACCGATTACGCGGTTCTCTATGAAATCTGTAGATCATCTTTTATGATCAGATTGCAGAGCGAATACTGTGGAAAGGCGCTAAACACGGATTCACTTCCTGTACCAGGACAAAATATTTTTCAGCTTTGTAGGAACTGTCTTAGACACGAACTCTTAAGGCTGGCTTTGCTAGGCTAGAGCTTCGTGCTACATCCTCAAGCGGATAATAGTATGGTGCAACGCGCAAGCTTATTCGTAATTCATTCATGTATCGATGACGAGAAGCCGACATGGCGGCAAAGCGGCTATTATTTTTCTTACTTAGTGGATGTCCAAACCCACAAGGACACTGAGAAAATAGGGAGGCAGCAGTCTGGCAACAACCACCTAGAGTGGCAGAACGCCTACTCTGCTTACTCCTTCTGGAAGGTGCAATACGGAGAAAAGAAGTTGGAATGAAAGTAATAGAAAAGACGAAAATAAATTAATGAAAAAAGCATGGCCAAAAATAACTTGCAACTTAGAAAAATGTCCATGGACTCGAAGCACGAGACTAGCGCGAGGCAGCGTCAGTTTTGTTCATGAAAGTTAGCAGGGCTCGTTGGGCTGCTGCATTATACCATTCGTCAAGCGGACTGACTTTGTGAAGATGTCGTTGGTGACGGCGCAGACGCTGTGCTTCTCTCGCAGCTTCCGGCACAGCGCCAGCATGAGCGCCGTCTTTCCGGAGCCCACAGGTCCACCCACGCCGACGGTGAAGGCGCGCTGGTCCCAGTCGTCTCTGACGCGCAACGCCTCGCGCTCGACGTAGCTGCCAGGACCGTCCATGAGCTCGTGCGTGTGACCGCCCGGACCTCCGTGGCTGTGACCGTGTCCGGGACCATGGCCACCCAGTGCAGTGGAAGCTGCCCATGTCCAATGAAAGACGTCTTTAGTTCCAGCCTCAGTTTCTTTTAGGACGATAGTCTTATATACCTTATCGAACATGGACAGGGACCATCAGCGGTAACATGAGTGACGAAAAAAATATTTGTACGTGACCATGTGACGTCATATAGTCGACTGGATGTATTTCATGCTTCTTACACCTCACGTGCCTCCGAAACCGACCGGCCCACCTTTGACTAATAGGTGATGTCGTATGATGACATTAGTAAAGCATCATGATAACATCGCAATTTTTTATCGATAAGTGACAGCATAACGACGTCACATATCGATTTGAGATGTGGCATATGAGCGGGTGAGTCAAACAACTTTATTTTGTCCCCAATAGGCGTGCGTTAACTCGACGCCATGGACGTGGCTTGGCCCTCTCGGGGACGGTCAGGTAAAACTTGACTGTCCTCGCGTGGGCCCTCAACAAAATTTGAGACGTTATCGGGATGTCCATCTGACTACACTAACATGGTGACGTGATGTGATGACGTCACAATGTGAGTGAATTCATCAGACAACATCGTCCACTATATTCGTAAGTAACGGGTTGGTTGGTCCCGGAGGCACGTAAGGTGCAAGAAGCCTGCGATGCATCCGATCCCGGAGGCAATGCAAAACCACGCTAGGTGCACAAAGCATGTGTGCTTAGAGCTACGTGCACGCTACAGAACCCCAGGTTGTCTGAATTTCTCCAGCCCTTCACTAGAGCGTCCATCAGTAATATAGTTGCTTTAATTGGGACGTAAAATCCCAACTATTGTCACGGTAATAGTGTGTAATTGTATAAAAATTGCTGTATCAGTAATTATTCAGCAACTTATGTTGCAAGACAGCTCCCACCTTATCTTGGTTTTCTCATTATTTATGGATTGAGTCCATCGTCGTAAGAACATCCATGCCCGGCCGACAAGTTCCACTACCATACGTAATAAAAGCGACACGCACGCTTTTCGCACATTATTTATTTCTTATCCTTTTCCGGTTTCCAGTTTATGTTAAGAATAAACAAGCAAAAAGAGGTAAAAAATATATAGCTCCCAGAGATTTGCGTCTCAAAACTACGATAGTGCCACACATGCTATGCTGTATATGCTGCTGGCGTATTGCAGGTGTAGACAGTGCATTCCGCAATCCCAGCCAGAATGTGTAAGAACATTATAGATAGGTCTCGAGTTATCTGTTCGGCTTGATCATGCACGCAAACGCGAACAGCTGAGTTTATTTCGAAACGCACTCGGCCGCCAGCGATAACACTCGGCTGTTCGACGCCGCGTGTATAAATGCCGACGCGCACTGCCGCGGACCGAATTATCGACGGCCAACGCTGTGTTCACCAAAATCATGTATACGGTGTGTGTGGCTGTAGATTGACTTTCGGTTTGCCAGTTACTTTCGGTTTGCCAGTGACTTTCGGTTCGACCAAATAATGGGTTTCATCTTGGTTTCATCGCGGGACCTGCTGCTTTCATTCACGTCACGACAACGTGACTATATGAAGTACGCCTAACGAATTGTAACGAGTTGTTGTAAATACAAATTGATTGATTGATTGATTGATTGATTGATTGATTGATTGATTGATTGATTGATTGATTGATTGATTGTGATTGACGGCTTGTGGAGGGCCCCGGATACTTTGATTCCATGGGGTTCTTTAAGATCGCCAATTTTTTAAATTTATTTTTTGTGGTTTAACGTGCCGAAACCTCTATGCGAATATGAGATACGCCGTAGAAGAGGGCTTCGGAAATTTCGACCACCTGGGGTTCTTTGCACCTAAATCTAAGCACGCGGGCCTCAAGCATTTTCGCCTTCATCGAAAATACAAGTAGAGTGCGAAATCAGGCTTGTTGTTTCACATTCATTTCATATGCCTTCCCGGCTGCGGCGGCTGCATTTCCGATGGAGGCGGAAATGTTGTAGGCCCGTGTACTCAGATTTGAGTGCACGTTAAAAAACCCCAGGAGGTCAAAATTTCCTGAGCCCTCCACTACGGCGTCTCTCATAATCAAATGGTGGTTTTGGGACGTTAAACCCCACAAATCAATCAATTTCATATGCCTATTAACTGCGCGTCATTTCTTTGATCCCTCGTTTCCGGTCCGTGTTTGCGCAGTTAATAGGGTTCTTCAACGTATCCCTGCTGCGGCGGCTGCATTTCCGATGGAGGCGGATATGTTGTAGGCCCGTGTGCTCAGATTTGGTTGCACGTTAAAAGAACCCCGGGTGGTCTAAATTTCCGGAGCCCTCCACTACGGCGTCTCTCGTAATCATATGGTGGTTTTGGGACATTAAACCCCATATATCAATCAATCAATCAAGGTTCTTCAACGTGTACCTAAATGTGAGCCCACGGGCCTCTGGCATTTCCGTCTATCGAAATGCGGCCGGTACTCGGTCCCGCGACCATAGGTTCAGCAGTCAATCGTCGTGACTGCACTATCGAACGTAAGTGCATGCGAGGAAAATACACTTGAATGGCAAAGAACAAGAGCTGAGTGTTTATTCAAGAGGCTGCTTTTATACCCTGGCCAGAGGGCCAGGAGCATGCGCCGTGGCGAGTGGTGAAATAACGTGGTGTCGGGATGCTTTCTCGCGTCTGCATCTGATGATTAGTGATACACCAATAACCAATACAGAACACCAGGGTGGTTGAGCAAGACAGGAAAGACTTGACATTGCCGAAATATAGGAAATTGCCAGAAGTGAAGTAATTTATTTATACTACAATATAGCATTCAAGATGCCAGCATTGTTTTTTTTTCCTTGTTTTTCAAGACATGATTTGTGACTGTGTCTGGTTAAAAAAAATCAACTGAAAATGAACAACATCTATAGCATTATTGTATCTGATACATTGCGTTTTGGTGAGATAAAGTGAAAAATATGGTATACTGAACCTCAAGTTACCGCCGGCTCAAGTGCATGGCTAAAATTTATCTCATGTTCTGGTTAGATTTTAGCTTGTCTATCCAGTGATTGACCGCTCATGAAAATGTTTTTGCCTCAATTTAAACAATCCCATTTTCATTAGCGTTGCTTCTTTTATACGACTACGTATGTATTGTATGTTAACATTAGTTTTGTGTAATAGACAATACTAAACATATATAGCAAAGTTAGGCAGCTGTATTATGTGAAAACCGTGCAGCATCCCTCATTTATCGACGTGACCACAAGTAATGTAGCCGTTCCTTCACGTATGAAGAAGTTGGGTTGTATACAAGAGAAGCCTAATACAGGGTTTGCAAGATGAGGGGCACTTGGTAACAATTATAAAACAAAGAAAACGCTAGCGCACTAGCTTTCAATTGCAGCACACCAAATGAGCTTGACATTCAATCTCACGAATTCCAATAATAATAATAATAATAATAATAATAATAATAATAAGAAGAAGAAGAAGAAGAAGAAGAAGAAGAAGAAGAAGAAAGAAGAAGAAGAAGAAGAAGAAGAAGGAAGAAGAAGAAGAAGAAGAAGAAGAAGAAGAAGAAGAAGAAGAAGAAGAAGAAGAAGAAGAAGAAGAGAAAAGAAGAAGAAGAAGAAGAAGAAGAAGAAGAAGGCAAAAGAAAATCAGCGTACGAAGTTATATTAGTAAGATCAGACAACACCGTTAAATTTACTATACACGCCGTCAATACAACTGTCCTACTCTGCTGGAATTCAATGAGAGTAACTACCAAACCGTCTTATTTCCTTAATTACTTATTGTTCACGGCAATAGGGGGCTGCTCATGCTTATGGATTACTAATAGTGCTCAATTGTTTTCAAAACCGCTAAATCTACGTCCATCGGGAAAACAATGAACACCGGCTGACCTTGAAGGAAGGTGCAGGACTCCTGAGACATGTCCACTCCAAGACGCGCCGGGACTCGGATGACGGGTGTTCCTTCAAGGAGCGAGGCTCCACCGATAGCGGTCATCGAGCAGATAAGCAGTGCGTCTGTGGCGCGCCAAAAGATAGCGTGCTGGCTCGGCATGTATTGCAGTACTCCTGCTGACACTCGACATTTGTGTACCTCTCGTGATCTCCCGTGGTAGCCCCGTTCAGGCAAGTTTGATGATTGTATCGGTGAGATTGTCGAAGATACATGTTTAAGTGAAGCTTTTTTAGCCTTTCCCGGGACCTTGGTGCTCGTTCACGAGCGTCATCACCATAGGGGTGCGATGATTCTTCATTACAGGGTGGTAACTTTGCCTAAGTAGCTTTGTACCACTCTTCTCGATGATTTGGGGTAGGCGAGGGGGACCGCGTCCCTCTGTTGCTGTCATTTTGCTTTGAGTCACATGGGCACATATTGATGCCTACCATGCGCGTGGGCAAAGCTCCCCTTCGGGGAGGGGGGGGGGGGGGTTGTTGGTCGCAGTACACCATCTTTTCAGAAGGTATGGCGCTGACTTCGCCCCCCCCCCCACCCCTTAGGCGACTAGTGGTCTACTGTTTATGCCGTTCGCCCACTGATCCAAAGGTCACGGAGTCGAATCCCGGCCGTGTCAACTGCATTTTCGATGGAGGCGAAAGTGCCTGATACTCGTGTGCTTAGACTTAGCTGCACGTTAAAGAATCCCTGGGGACCGGAATTCCCGGAGCCCTCCACTACGGCGCCTCCAATTATCATACCGTGGTTCTGAAACGCTAAACCGCATATGTTAGTATCACCGAAAGTCATCTATATGGTCACCCTAGTATCACTACGAGAATTATGCCGCCTTCGGTTGCTTGCACGCGCATTTTCTTGAGACGTGCGTTGGACACTTCATATAATCATAGTAATAATTGTTGGGGTTTAACGTCCCAAAACCACCACATTGCCGCGTTTCACCGTAAACAGGACACCGAGACGTTTAGTCCAAGAACCAACGGCGTATTTTAGGCAGCAGCTGAAAGCAAAAACATTTTTTGTTAGTTAACTTGTTTGTTTGTGGCCTGTGAACACTGGCACGTACCCCCTTTGGAAGATCGGCCAAGAAAGCTTGTAGTAGCCTATATGTGAACACAATACAATGGTTGTCAGCCTATTACTAAAATGAACAGAGAAAAAAGAAATATATCTTTCAAAAATAGAATAATGATAAAAAAATATGAATCAATAAAATAAATGATCATCATCATCATCAGCCTCACTACGTCCACTGCAGGACAAAAGCCTCTCCCATGTTCCGCCAGTTAACCCGGTCCTGTGCTTGCTGCTGCCAATTTATACCCGCAAACTTCTTAATCTCATCTGCCCACCTAACCTTCTGTCTCCCCCTAATCCGCTTCCCTTCCCTGGGAATCCGGTTAGTTACCCTTAATGACCAGCGGTTATCCTGTCTACGCGCTGCATGCCCGGCCCATGTCCATTTCCTCTTCTTTATTTCAACTATGATATCCTTAACCCCCGTTTGTCCCCTAATCCACTCTGCTCTTTTCTTGTCTCTTAAGGTTACACCTACCATTTTTCTTTCCGTTGCTCGCTGCGTCGTCCTCAATTTAAGCTGAACCCTCTTTGTGAGTCTCCAGATTTCTGCTCCGTAGCTAAGTACCGGCAAAATACAGCTGTTATATACCTTTCTCTTAAGGGATAATGGCAATCTACCTGTCATAATTTGAGAGTGCTTGAAGTTGTAAAATACTACGTCTACTTAGGGCAGGTAATAACCGCAGAGCCTAACCACGAGATTGAAGTAACTAGAAGAATAAGAATGGGGTGGAGCACATTCGGCAAGCACTCTCAAAATAAAAGATAGCTTCTACTATAACAAATGAAAATTTTCAGTAGACCATACCGTCGAGTTCAACTCACCCGATAAAAATCGAATATATGTCTTGACATTCATTCACTTTACCAATTATATCCCAAGTCTTCGTCAAGAATATATTAAAGCAGACGTTATATTGACCTGCGTTTAGATTCTTGAATAAAATTACATTCTGCATCAAATACGTTTTGACAGCAAACATAAACACAAACATGTCGTCTTCTGCGGTCAGTGTCCCATTACACTAGACTGTTGGAGCGCATTCGTCTTCGTTGTCTACCCATATCGAGCTCGGTACTATGATTATGATAGACGCTGTAGTAGTGGAGGGCTCCAAGGATATTGATTCCTGGTCTTCTTCAACGTGTACCTAAATCTAAGCACGCGGGCCAGAAGCATTTTCGCCTCCATCGAAAATGCGGCCGCCACGGCCGGCATTTGATCCCGCGACCTGCGGGTTAGCAGCCGAGAGCCTTAGCCACTACACCATGGCGGGTCCGTTCGACACTAGCTGAGAGGAATAGGCTGAGGTACACTATTTTTAAAAGGGTCACCAATTTTGGTTACCCGTGGTACCTACATTGAGAAAGCCGGGAACAGTTTTTCTTCATGAATTACGTTGGCCCGTCAAACTCATGGTTGCGTTTGGGTTCTAATGGGTCTCGAATAGCTAAGTATTCTTCTTGCTGCTGCAAGCTGCCAGTGGAGCATCTTTTCGGCTGTGTTTTCGTGTTCACGCCAGTGAACTTCCTGAAGCGTATTTTATTAGAGACGAGGGTATTGATTGCATATCTGAACCGTCTGTTTGTCTGCTAGATTGCGCGGTATGAAAGCTCAATTATTTCTTTGACGTTGCCTTTTTTTTTGCGCTAGCATGTGTTCGTTTTTGTTGCGTTCATTTTTGTTTTATTAAACTTCAATTGTTAGACAGCGCTCGCACAGTGTCTTTCCATTCTTGTGCTGCATCCTGTTTGCGCTGATTTCGTACAATATGCATCAAGTCTGACTCTCCCAACTCTCTACCTTACTCAAAGAAAGGACGCCTAATACCAGGAATAGTGCCAGTCAACAACATTATACTTGATTGGTTGCCAACTAACAAGTGTATTTTAGCTGTAGTAGGCGTAAGTCCTGTCATATCTGCTCAGCGTTTTTTTTTCTTTGTGCCTCCAATTTTTTCACCAAGTTGAGTGACCACAGGTTTTACGCTGCATTGCGTGTGTTGTTAAAAGTGTTTCTCTCTCTTTTATTCCCTTACTACCCTCCCCATGTGTAGGGTAGCAAACTGGGCGTAGTCTATTTAACCATCCTACCTTTCCTATATCCTTAGCCAAGGGAAGGTTCAACCATTCTGTATGTAAGGTCGTGCATTTGTTTGTATGTGTTTATCATACAGATTCAAAAATGAAAAAAAAATTGGGTATTGGGAAAGGGGAGGTGGGTTGAAGCCTTTTTGGGTACGCCAGTGATGAAGGAAGCTATCCGCTCAACTGGATCCGCTATGCGCTTTAGCACAGGTACAAGAACGTGCACGGAAACATGAACTTGACGAAAACATAAACGTATATAGAGACGCATTGCACCAATTCAGGGGCGCACTCGCGTATGCACCGATGGACATGATTCAATATAGACACGACCTCACATTGTGCTACTTTTTTTTGCGTCTATTCGCGTTGTACACAGAACCGGCGCAGCCACCAGCACGAGTGGCAACATATGCCGTCTTCGCTTCGGAGCGCGCACTCAATCTCTCGTCGTGTGCACAATCCAAACTTGCCTCGGCGCGGCCTTCGAGAACTCTGCGTCTACACTCTCGAAGGCCGTGCTTTTCTCTCATTTTCACCTTGATGTGCTAGTGGTCACAAATGAACACTGGCCGTGCAGTGCGGTAACTCTACTTCAGTCTGCCGTAGAACTCGTGTGCTGGGTAGTGCGAACTTTTGAAATGATCAGAAGGGAGAGCATATCTGCTTCATGGAAGAGTGACTTATCTCGACATATACAGCGGGAATCGATGATACACGAAGCACAAATGAGGAAGGAATGATTCGCGTGTTAGGAGGACCTGTAATTTATGTTTTGTCATACAATGACGGCACTCGATGCCGACTAAGGTGTATATCAAACAAGCGAACCGGCCGCAAGCGCACCATCAGCTTGACATGTAAAACATGCCGGACATGACATGGATGTCGTGATTCGCATGTTAGGATCTTTAATTCAAGTTCGCGATACAGTGACGTCACTCGATGTCTACTAAGGTGTATATGAAGCTAACGAACTGGCTCCAAACGCACCATGAGCGTGGCATGTAAATTATGCCGTACATGACTTTCATGTCATGATTATCATGTTTGCACCTGACATTTGTGTTCGTCGTCAATTCACGTCACGTAATACCAAATTTCGTATATGTGAAGCTAGCGAACAGCCTTGAGCGCATTATGAGCGTGGCATATAGTTATGTTTTTACGTGACACGCATGTCGATGTTCTGTAGCCCCGCCGTGGTCGTCTGGCTATAGGGTACTCGGCTGCTGACCCGCAGGTCGCGGGATTGAATCCTGGCTTCGGCGGCTGCATTTTCGATGGAGGCAGAAATGTTTTAGGCCCGTGTGCTCAGATTTGGGTGCACGCTAAAGAACCCCAGGTGGTCGAAATTTCCGGAGCCCTCCACTACGGCGTCTCTCATAATCATATGGTGGTTTTGGAACGTTAAACCCCACATATCAATCAATAATTTCGATGTTCTGTACACCTCCATGTGAATCTATTTTACTCATTGATCACCTTAATGATTTTGTCAGTGCTCCTTTAATGAATCCATGTCGTTAATGCTCAGCCCGCCTCAGGACATCAAGCCATCACCTCCTACACAAGCCTCGAGAGGTTGTACAAGTAGTTGTCTCGCGGAGTGGCGTACCCATGAAGGGGTGTGGTTTAGGGTTTAGAGACGCCCCCCCCCCCTTTGGTTCGAATCCCGGCTGCGGCGGCTGCATTTCCGATGGAGGCGGAAATGTTGTAGGCTTGTGTGCTCAGATTTGGGTGCACGTTAAAGAACCCCAGGTGGTCTAAATTTCCGGAGCCCTCCACTACGGCGTCTCTAATACTCATATGGTGGTTTTGGGACGTTAAACCCCACATATC